ATCGTATCTAATTTTCTGTTTACCCCTCCTTTCATTATAGCAGATACTAGCATGCAGATTTTTCTTGCCCCATCAATCATCTCCTTTCTTCTTAATATTTAACTCCTCTTTATTCTTTTGGTTATGTCCTTTTCAGTATTCTATGCACACGTGACCCCACGCTTTAAAAAAAGGTGAAGTCATCTCTTAACCCAGTGGCATTGCTTACCTGAGGAACAATGATGTTGCTACCCTTGGTCACTCCTCTCCGCTCTTCCTGTCGTTGCTGGTCCCTTTCCCAGGTGACAGCTCTCCTTGCTCTGAAATAGTTCTGAGCCTTAAGGTTGAGTCCTCAGTCATCCTTCTCTCTGCGTGCACTTGCTTTCTGTGACTGCATGCATCCCTTTGACTTCAACCATTAGTAAAAATAACTGACCAAAACTATATTTTAACAGCCTCAATATCTCTCCCATGATCTAGACCCATGTGTTCAATTGCTTTCTGAATATCTTAAGACATCTCAGAAGCAACACGTTTAAAATTAAACTCATCATCTTTGACTGCAATTCTTTCTTCAAGTTCCCCACGTATGAACGAGTTCCTTTCCAAGAGCATGTTTGTAAGTCCAACAAAGTTAGCCTAGGTCCCCAACTAACACAATCGGCTATATAGTACTATACTGTAACAGGTTTATAATACTTTTCACGCATAATGGATAGAAAACAAATACACACACAAGAGAACACATTTTAAATCGTACAGTGCGGTGCCTTGAAGAGTACACTAGTGTAGAGCAGCAGCTGGCATGGAGTGATCAGGCAAGAAGAGTTATTGAGTGGAGGAGGGAGGGGAGGTGGGAGATGGTTGACCTGAAGGGTCATCAGCAACAGGAAATAGAGGGCAAGCTGCAATTTCATTCACATCTGATGTGGAAGGAATGCACGTGTGCATCTTTGAGAGTTTGCAACTTGAAGGTTCACATAGCGGGGACTTACTGTCTTCTACAGATAGCTTAATAGTCCAAACTATACTGGGTCCCATGTGAAATTTCTGTCTTCCTTTATCTCAACTCTGATATCACATCTAATTCCATCACCAAGTCTAGGTAATTCTATTTAGTAATTGATTTGAATCCAGATTCCAGTTGGTTTGAATCCAATTTTCTTCTCTAGTTATCTGCTTCTATGTTGGCATGGATTCTTTTTGTTATTTTATTTTTCTAGACTATTAGAATTGCCTCCAAAAAGGTTGATTTCCTTACCAAGTTGTCACATTCTGGTATATTTTCCTCTTTGACTTACAATAAACTTTCTAAAGGGGCTTCCCTTGTGGCTCAGTAGTAAAGAACCCACCTACCAATGCAGGAGATGCAGATTTGATCCTTGGGTTGGGAAGATGCCCTAAAGAAGGAAATGGCAACTCACTCCACTATTCTTGCCTGGGAAATCCCATGGACAGAGGGGCCTGGTGGGCTACAGTCCATAAGGTTGCAAAAGAGTGGGACAGGACTTAGCCACTAAACAACAGCAAACTTTCTAAAATTCAAATGTAACCATGTTATTCTTCTGCTAAAGGTATACTTAATGTGGTTTCTTTCTGCTTTAAGAATTGTTTAGTCTCTGGCTGTTTTAAACTTTTGTGTGGTATGTAAAAACCTCAGTCTATTTTTATGATGATCTCCAAACCAAAAAGTTTCCAAACGGACACAGAAAAGGAACTATTGCACCTAACCATAACCCTAAGTAAAGGCTATGTTTATCAGCTGGAAATTCTTGGTTTTTACTTTGCTGGTACTGTAGCTGATTCCTTCTGAGGTCTGTGCCTTGCTAATAATTATCAAACCTGAAATTTGTCCTCAAATGCAGCAAAGATAGAATGGAAATGAATAGAATCATAAGAGGTTGTCAAATAGTCTTTGTTTCATAGGTCTGACTCCATTCTCTCTAAAATTGAGTTCATTTTTCAGTTTTGAATGGGCATGCTTAAAATGGGACTATGTTAGTGGGTCTTTGTGGGCATCTTAGTTTAGGCCTCTCTACTCACCCTCAAATCACACAAGTGCACACAACCCACACATAGAGTTGGCACTTGTTAATTATTTATCATTGGTGTCCCGGTTTATTATTTTGCTATGATTCATCCATATTGCCTTATTTAGATCTCCTTTATAATTTTTAAAGTGACTGATCAGGATTAGGGATTGAGTCTTTGATCAAAGTGTGTAGTAAAGTTAACAAAATCCATGTATCTGAGTCCCGCATACATGTCGCTCTTCCACAGATATTAATGCTAATGCATTCCACGAATGCTAATACATTTGTCATAGGTTCTTGAAAGAATGTGGTACAATAAGTATGTGCCTTTCCTTATTAAAAAGATATCTAAATTTAAATAATCCAACAAGAAAAGATTATCTTAATTTAAAATATAATTTTCTTCCCCTATATTACCCTTCCTCCTTTCCCTCTCACACTGGAAACTACCTATTTGTTTTCTGTATCTGTGAGTTTGCTTTTTTTTTTTTAATATTCACTAGTTGGTTGTATTTTTTAGACTTCAGTTCAGTTTAGTTCAGTCACTCAGTCATGTCTGACTCTTTGCGACTGTGAATCGCAGCACGCCAGGCCTCCCTGTCCATCACCAACTCCCAGAGTCTACCCAAACTCATGTCCATCGAGTCGGGGATGCCATCCAACCATCTCATCCTCTGTCGCTCCCTTCTCCTCCTGCCCCCAATCCCTCCCAGCATCAGGGTCTTTTCCAATGAGTCAGCTCTTCACATGAGGTAAGGATTGGAGTTTCAGCTTCAGCATCAGTCCTTCCAGTGAACACCCAGGACTGATCTCCTTTAGGATGGACTGGTTGGATCTCCTTGCAGTCCAAGGGACTCTCAAGAGTCTTTTCCAGCACCACAGTTTTTAGACTTAACATTTAAGTAATATCATACAGTATTTGTTTTCTTCTCTCTGACACTTCTCTTTGCATAGTACCCTCCAAGTTCATCCATGTTGTTTCAAATGGCAAAATTATATATATATGTATGTATGTATGTATATCCACAGTGGCTACACCAATTTACATTCCTACAAACAGTGTATGAGGGTTCCCTTTTCTCCACATCCTCTCTAACATTTGTTTATGTTCTTTATGATGATAGCCATTGTGACTGGTATGAGGTGATAGGTCATTGTGGTTTTGATTTGCAATATCTTTACTAATCAGTGATGCTTGGCATAGTTTCATGTACCTATTGGCACATCTGCATCTCCTCTTTGGAAAAAGTATTTATTCAGATCTCTGTCCATTTTTTAATTGGGTTGTTTGTTTTTGATGTTAAGTTGTACGAGCTGTTTATATATTTTGGCTATTAACTCCTTATCAGTCATATCATTTGCAAATGTTTTCTCCCATTCAGTAGGCTGTGTTTTCATCCTGTTGATGGTTTCCTTTAAGTTCAATTAGGTTCCATTTATTTTTGCTTTTGTTTCTAATATAGAAGCAGGGAATTAAGAGATACAAACTATTATGTATAAAATAAGCTACAAGGATATATAGTACCTCACAGGGAATATAATAGCCAATATTTTATAGTAACTATGGATGCAGTATAACCTTAAACATTGTGAATCACTATGTTGTATGCCTGTAATTTATGTAATATTTTACACCAACTATTACTCAATAAAAAATAAAAAATATAATTATCAAATTAATGGATTTGGTCTTATTGATAGTACTATTGCCTTTTACCCCAGCAAGTATTCCTAATTATATCCTTAGAAGCCAACGTGTATTTATCTGAAACCTAATTGTAATATGTTCTAAAGATTCAAGATGCTCTCTGGATTTAATTTTTGCCAGGTGACATTTAAACACTAGAGCTGAATTATAAATGAAGTCGCTTTGTTAAAAACAACGAAGAGTGAGTTTGTGAACTTGTGAAGTTGGAAACCAAATCAGTATCCCAAACCAAACTCTATTGCTGCTATCTCATTAAATAGCATTGGGTAGATGTTTAAAGATTTTTATACATTTTAATTCAGGCGGTAACTTGAATTAAAACAGCATTGATTTTTTTTTCTATATCATTCTTGGTCATGTATAACATACTAAAATACAAAATGAATTTAATACTATTTGAGTCTGTCTGTGTAACAAGGTGTTAAATTTTTGGAGGCTTTCTTTCCCCATGCTAATTTTCATCATTTTGTTGTTCCTTTCGTTTGCCTTGGAACTTTCGCTTTTTAGAATTATTATTCATTCTTTTCACCATATATCCCAATCATTAAACATTTAAACTTTGATCAGGCAGAGAAGCAAGAGACTATGCATAATGATGAAGTTGGAACTTCCTTGAGCAACCTGTTAGCTCATCTTGGAAGAAAAGTGTTGTGCCAAATGATCTTTATGTGCTCATGAATAGTGTTGTAACAAAAGTTGGTAGAGAGATAAGCATAAAGGGCAGTTCTAATGGAAGGAATGATAGTAAGATATACCTTGGCTGAACATGCTAATGCTTTGTCAAGATGCTATCTGCTCTTGCTGCTAAATTAGGTACATATTAAGTTAGCAGCTCCTATAGCTATGTGCTATTTTACAAAATGAATTAGAAGAGAAAGAATATACCTCTCAGGATTTGAATTATCTCATATGACAGTAAAATGATTACATGGAGAATACCCATTTAACCCAGAGTTTATGATACATTTAACTGTGTGGATAGATTCTGCAAATAAAAGTGGGAGAGGCAGGAAGAAAGTTCATATGAAGGTAGCTGTAGGCTCTACCTACTTTGAGATTTTAGCTTTATACTGAACTCTTTATATATAGTATAAAGTATAAAGTTTTACTTTATACTGAAGTAACTGAGACTTTTGCTGTTGCTGTTTCCTAAATGCAGAATTTCAGAGTGGGAATATCAGGACTTTAGCTGAAAATACGCCTGTATTAAACCAGGAATCTTTGGCCGTGGCATTTGGGCACAAACATTGGGAAGATTTAAGGAACTGTGAAGATTGATCATGGAAATCAAAGAGGAAGGAGCATCAGAAGAAGGCCAGAACTTTCTGCCTACACCCCAGGCAAATGACACCGGGGACTTTCAGTTCACAAGTGAGTATAAATGCACCCCCAAATTACATAACTTTGTTCCTTTGCACTATTATTTCAGTGTTCTATGTCTATGATATGTCTCTCCTCTTTTATCCTGGGTGAGGTAGATGATAGTTTATGAAATGGTTCAGTATCAGATAGAACCATTGTTCTTGTATGTGTAGTAAGACAGTATGTAGTTTCTTTTTTTGTTAAGGATGTTGGTCTTTATTTGAAGATCAATTGGAAAACTAAGGCAGTACTTGAATTTTGAAAAAGTCACTCTGAATGTTGATGGAGACCCGATTGTGGATGCACAGAGTGGATCTGAGACACCATTTAGGAGGCTGTGGTTGCACACTTTCTATTGATCATATTTCTACTCTCATGTGGAATTGTTTTTTGAATCCTAGAAGTTTTCTCTTTAAAACCAAAGACATTTCAGTTGAAAACATCAGGGTGCAATGATTACACTAGCTACTTCAAAGTTGCTGCCATACCTAAGTCACATCAACAGAGCAAGAAAGCTTGGCAATTTGGCCAGGATTAGCATTTGAATATGAACGTTGGTTTTCGTGCTACTCAAGTAGTTAAAATCATTGAAAGAAGTATATGTTTTCTCTCATGCTTAACATTCTAGAGTTAGGGTTAGATTGTTTAGCATAAATTGTGTTTTATTTTATTCAAAAGATTCTTGTCCAGTTATTTAGCCCTGGCAAACATATGCCTAACCTCTCATTTCCTTTACGTTATAAAAATAATCTTGAGAAAATGATACTGGTTGGATGAGTTTATTTGAGTAATTTGATTGTCAGAGCTTACAGCAGAATTGTTAATAACCTTTAAAAAAATTACAGTATTTGAAATTAATAAAGACCTACATAATAATTGTCAATCTAACCCTTCTTAGAAAGTCTAAAATTGTTAAATGTCAGTAGGAAATAAAAGTAAACATAAATGCAAAAAATATGAACTCTGTACATAAAAAACAGATGGTTTTTATACAAAGAGATGGTTCTAACAGTTGTTGACTGAAAAAATAATGCACAACATGAGTTATGAGTTATGTTTTATTGGGGCAAAATGAAAACCATAGCCTGGGAGACAGCATTTCAGATAGCTCTTAGAAACTGCTCCAAATAAGTAGGGGAAAGGTCAGTGTACATGTGATTTTGGTGAAAGAGGAGCCCATGCAATGAAGCACATGTTTCTGCAGAAGGTTTCTGCTTTTCTCGTGAAGGTCACTGCTAGTTATGAGGAGCAGATGTCACCATGAAGGGTTTTAGTGCTTTTCTATATATGAGGAGATGCAAGAATTGGGCTTGTAAAATTGTCTCCAGACAATATCTATCTGAAAACCTGTTCTGCCTTTTTCCCCCCTGCAAATCACAGATGCCTCATTTATGATCTCCACCCTAAATTCCTTTCAGGGGATACTGAAGGTCAGCAGCTGCAGCAGCTCATGATTTAATCCTTGCAGAGGTGGATAGCAAGTGCCAATCTGTAGTGGACACAGTATATTCATGACTAAATGCTAATAAATTTAAGTTTTATCTGATGAGTGCACCAGTAAAGATAAACAAGGAGAAGATTTTTATATAATACTCTTTCATTTCTTGGTCACCCATGAGTGGTGATAAATGACATCCCAATCCTCAGTCACTCTGTTTTTGTTGTTGTTGTACTTACTTTTTGTAGTCTTATTTATTTGTTTTCATATTTTTTATGATCTCTATTTCTTTTTCTCTTTTTTTATTGAAGTATAGTTGACTTACAATATTATATTAGGTGAAGCTGTACAACATAGTGATTCATTATTTTTATAGATTATATTTCATTTGATGATACTGAAAAAAAAATGGCTATATCCCATCAGCCCTTCTTGTTTAGGAAGCTCTGAAACAGACTGTAGTCTTAACAAATCCATCTACCATTTTATTACTTGCCACAGCCTTACCTTTCTATCTTCTAACCATTAGATGTTCCGTTTTCCTTACCTTTGTTTTCGAACTTAACTTTCACTCCCACTTCATCTTAAATCATTTACCCATGTTAATAGATTTATTTTTAACTGCCAAAAAAAGGAAAGGACATTTAACAGAATATTGATTTGAGCTATCAATAAATTGGCAGAATAACTGCCATCATCATGTCCTGAGTAACCTAACCAGAAATAGCTCTTTAATTATTTACCATTAACACAAGGTTGAAGTGGTGTGAAAGAGAAATCTGTGTCAGAGAAGACTTGGATGAGGTCATCCTTTGCAAAGTTTCCATCTCTGTCGACATATATACAAAAGAAACAAACAGTTGGAAAATATGTTTTGCATTTTTCATGCCTTAGAGAAACAATATTTCTGTTTTATGACCATGGAACTAAATAAAGCAATCAAATCTTTAGCCATATCTAGTTTTGCTATAAATATTACATCTTGCCCTGAGAATTGACTTGTTATATATGTCTGGATGATTAACTGAGTTTATTTGTTCTGCCAAATAGTGTATTTATACATTGTGGGCAGGGAGAAAGTTATTTATGTTCACATAATTTTGATGAGTTAAATATCTTCATTCTGAATTTGTGCCTGTTATTCATAGGTATTCAGAAGACTCCAAATGAACCACAGTTGGAATTCATCCTTGGTAAGAAATTCTTATTTATTTATAGCTATAAATGTAATAAGCCTTTTGTACATATAGTTTACAACTTTAGGTATGTTACTGATATCATTGTTATTTATAATATATTTTCTAACATTTCATGAATATTGTTCTGTTAAAAAAAATTATTCTATAAGGTAAATGTTATTTTCCCCAGTTTATAAGTGAAGAATCTGAGCTATGGAAAAGGTCCGTTTATTACCCAAGGATTGAGGACTTCAGTGGTGATGGGTTTATGTCTGTCAATCAAATCTGCTGACCACAAGTCCTTTGCCCAACACTTATTCTAATACAGTGACTGAAGTTTGTTGCAAATCATTTCTCAAAATCCACGTGTCTAATTACTCACTCCTGGGGCCGTTGACTGGGCTCATGTGGAGTTTTCCTTTGTTCTTCTTTATGCCGTTTACAGGGTCTGTGCTCCCCTTTTGGTCTCACTCAAAAATATTCCCTTGCTCTTCCATCTTGATATTGTGGCGAGATCCATGACTTTGAGAATTTAATTTTAATTCAAAGCTTTAACGTGCTTAAGCAACTCTAAGAATCTGTCACATCTGGAAATTTGTAAACTTGTCAAAGGATGAATTAAAAATGTGCACCCCTACAACACTGTAAATCAACTACACTTCAATAAAAACAATTTTTGCTTACGTAGCAGTGGTTTAAAAAAATAATGCATACCCTGAGGCTGGCCCACTACTTAGCTAGTGAGTAGGAACTTGAATTGGGTATGACTGCAAAGTGCTATTAGGGAATTAGTTGCAAAATGGCATTTAAAGTGGGTAAAAATATGGTTCCTATGAACTATTTAGAGAGCCTTTTCTTCTTTCATTGTTCTGAAGTACTTTGAAAGGTCCCTAATATTTTTACATTTATTTGTATGAAATTTCATGAGATATATTTTAATATCCAAATCATTGATACATACATATTTTATGAAGTTATGGGCAAGCTGAAACACATATCTCCACTGTCTGTAGTAGTTTGTAGTGATTTGAAGTTCCAGTTATTTTAGGAATATATATTTTATTATATAATGAAATGTTTCAAATTTATATCCTTCACTCAAAATATTACATTTTGAAGCATAACTTATTGAGAAAACAATCATAATTTTTTTGGTTTTGTTTTTCTTTCTCTTTCTAATAGATTTTATTTTTTGAACAGTTAGCAGTTCGCATCAAATTTGAACAGAAGATATAGAGGTTTCCTAGGTACTGCCCTGCCCCTATACATGTATAGCGTCCCCCATTATCAACATCCCCCTGCCAGAATGGTACATTTGTTACAGTTGATGAACTTACAGTGATGGATTATTGTCATCCTAAGTCAATAATTTGGGGCTTCCTGGGTGACTCAGTGGTAAAGAACCCACCTGCCAATACAAGAGACACAGGAGACCCGGCTTCAGTCCCTGGGTCAGGCAGATTCCCTGGAGAAAGAAATGGTAACCCACCCTAGTAGTCTTGCCTGGAGAATCCCGTGGACTCAGGAGCCTCGTGGGATACAGTCCATGGGGTCACAAAGAGTCATACACGACTGAGAGACTGAGCAACAAGTCCATAATTTACATTAGGATTCATCCTTGCAGTTATATGTTATCTATGGTTTGGACAATGTATAGACATGTGTTCATCATTATAGAATCATACTTAGTATCTTCACTGCCCTAAAAGTTCTCTGAGCTCTCCCTATTCAGCCCTGTCTTTCTTGTAATGCCTGGCAACCACTGATAAAGATATACTTTATTTATTTATTTATTTGTCTAGAAAATTCTCAGATGTTGTCAAATAAAGAAAAAAAATCCATTTTTCAGAAAGGAAATCAAGTATCAAAAAAGACCGTGGCACCTCTTGACTCACTAACCATAACTCTTGCTACTTGAGACTTTACTTACTCATCTTTTATTTTTAAGGTAATATATTTATTGTTTTTTTTAACCTTTCAGCAAGACTTCTGAAAAATGAAGATTTGTTAGACTCATTAGGAGTATTTCAAAGCACAAAGAAAGCTTTCTTAACTTGAAGCCTGGAGAATAGGGGAAATCTGAGTTAGGCAGAAGTAATTGGAGTAGAGGCTGTTAGTCAAGCATGGAGACAGAATGCATGGACCAAATACCCATCTTCTATTTCAATTAAAGTTACCTGTCTTTTTCAAAGACCTAACTATACTAATTGTTTTGAAAGTGCAGTCAAGTTTGGGAACAACGCTGTCATCCCTTACATTTCTGGCTTGAATCATAGATTTAAGAGATCAGCAGCTCTGAGAATTTATTCATAATAATATTTCTCCAATTTAAAAAACCAAACTTTAATTTTCTTTTTTCATATCTATTCAAAAAATACACTAGAATTCTTAACAACAGGTAATTTTATTTTGTCATATGGCAGGAAATCCCTGATGCACAAACAAAAGAAAGTCATCTAGAATCTTCAGGGAACTGTATTGTTGATCCTGGAATATATATTTCCTAAACTGTTTGCTATACTTCTTAGCACTTTAAAAGATCCTTAACTTTACCATTTCTTGAAGATTTTTTTTTAAACTATTCTTTCAAAGACATATAGCCAAACCCATGTAGGTTTTAGTGTATATTTTTATCACCATTTTTTTCTTTGTTTTTTTTTAATCTTACAAATTATTCAAGACTTCTACATATAGTTAGCTTCATTTCATAATTAATAAGTGAGAGTAATATTTTCTTAAATATTTTTTCATTATTTAAGAATGTGCATATTTAATTAACAAGAAAGAAGGCAAAGCATCTTACTACAAAAAAATCTAGAAAGAAAATGGAATAAAGGATGTAAGAGACCTTTTTCCAACTAATTTTCCAACTAAAATTTTTTTGGGGGTAGATTTCCTTTTATTGAAGTATAGTTAATTTACAACATCATGTTAATTTCCACTGTACAGAAAAGTGATTCAGTTATACATACATATATGTGTATATATATACATTTTAATATATTCTTTTCCATTATAACTTATCTCAGGATAATGAATATATCTCCCTGTGCTATACAGTAGGACTGTGTTGTTTATCCATCCAAATAATTTTTTTCTTATATTTGATTCTTGATTCTGTACCAAAGTATTCAAATAAATTGAGAGTTTCAGTGGCCTTGCTTTTTAAATTGGGAACAGCCACACTAATTTTGTAGGTGTCATATTATTTTGTATGAGTTACTTTCCATCAGGGATTTGTTTCTGTCTTGTCTATATGTCTATAAAATCAATATATCTTGCTGAAGTTCCTCTGCTACATCTTTATTCAAGTTAATCACGTGGGAGATGTCTAGTCAATTGAGCAAGCTGATTGGTTAAAAATATCTTGATAGTAAAAGATAAGCATGTACTAATATAAGGAGCTCATGCCCATCATCAATGGTATTTCTAGTGATTGACTGCATTTAAATTGTGTAATTCACCTGTACATTTATAGCTGTACTTCCACATCTCTTTCATTGTTTAGCTTGAGTATATAGGTACCCTTTTTATTTTCACAAAAAGAAAAATAAATAAAAATCCAAGAGAACACCGATTTTGTTTACAGTTCAGTAAAATTGTTTTATTTCAACAAAGCTGGCATTTAAGAAGAGGGATCATTTCTCCCATTCAGATAACATTTCTTTCTTGAAACCATTGTGGGAAATTATATACAGAATTAAGTCATTTGACAAAGATATGAAAGAAAAGAAATTCCTGTGAACTGTCTCTTAAGTTTAGTTCCCTAATTATGCTTATAACGTTTATTGTCATGCCTCCATTTACTACCTCCAACGTCAATAGAATACTTAAATGAATATTTTCCTATTTTTATATGGACACCACATATATCATGAAGCCAAGGCAATAGTCACCAATGCATGTTAATACGTAGGAGAGAATGGCATGTGTGTATGTGCATGTGATTCTTGTGTTTTTCATTTCACAGCATGAGGTCACGTTCTTGAGATAACTTACATGCTGATGACTGATACCTAATGAAAGCCACGTGACCAGTCGCAGGGTACACTGACACACATGTTTTGTGCATGTCAACAGCCTTGGTGTCAGTTATGACAGGAATGTGGGGACATGGCGGCAGGAGTGAAATCCCTAACAAATGAAAGCAATTCATTCACCTAAATTTAACTGGGAGCCTAGAAGACTTAAAAAGCACTCTCAGAAAGCATTAAGTCTCGTGTAGACAGAAACAGGGCAAGTCTATAGACTGTGCCTAGGGGAGAAGGAGTTGGTTTGGAGAACAGAGGGCCTATTGGGGGCCTATTTTGGACATAGAGAGTCGAGGAAGGCCTCTGTGTGTCCCAAGAGACTTATGCAGGCTGTGGAGGCTGATTTGGAAAGTGTCCATACTAAACATAAGACCCAGGTGATTTTCCCAGCCTGAGGCGGCAGACGATAGTAGATACTTATGCAACAGGTAATAGGGTTGGAAGAATGAGAATACTGGGGCTCAAGGGTAGTAACTCAGGTTGCTGGTTGGATCAGGCATGAAACCAAGTTATGAGTTGAATGGGTCTTGAAGTGAAAGTGGACATTGCAAATAGTGAAGGACTGTTTATTGGGCTACTAGAAAGTCAGGGTCGGAATAGGACGACGGAAAGAGAGAAGAGGGGCTGAGCCAGCGAGTTCCGGCTCCCATGGCCTCTAGTCTCCCTCACCTTCACCTGTACTGAACCTCCGGACAATGGATCAATCCTGGTGCCTGGGTGTTGTTGAGACTCTAGAGAGTAAGGGTTGGAGAGAGGTAGGATTCAACGTCAAATGATTGTTCGATTCCTCGCCTTTTGTGAAGCTGTTTTCTCTTTTAGGAATGATAAAATGACTTTTTCCCAGAGACTTCTTCCTCTTGAATTGAAAAATGCATCAGTTCCTTTCTACAGATTTTATTAGCACAGAAAATAAGACTAATTTGAGGTTTAAATTATTTAATAGATCCTTGCTTTATACTTCTGTTTTCTCTGAAGTCAATAAAC